ATAGGTCAAAAGTTGAGAGACTACTATATGAAAGGTGGATAGTAGGTCTGTACATTTGTCGTTATCTCGTCAATGGTTGAGTTACCAAGTCTGTAGCCACACTGATAAGGTCCAATCAGTTTGTTGACGGTGGACTTTAGTCCCACAATACGTTCGAAGGGACTTTATACGCGATAATAAGTAGGCTTATCCCACGGTAATTGGCGGTGAGTGTGGGGTCCTCCTATATATGGATTGCACAGAGCACACTTAAATTCCAAACGTCGGGCATACTTTCGGCCAACCATATTCTCCAAAGCAGTTTATGCGAGCTTGTCAGGTCTTCACCACATCCACACTATTAACCCGAAGAATGTGTGAACCAAATTTCTCTAAAATATTTCAACTTTTAATTGAGTTACCGACGATCGGACAGACAGACATGGAGAAATTCATTCCTATCATCATTCCATTAAGTTTAGTATGACTAAGTTGTATTAGCGCAAGTAAAAGGTCTTCCAGCGCAAGTAAAAGGTCTTCCATTATAAGTGCAATTGGATTATTCTACATAGCGTCAGAGAGATGATATTTTACACTAAAAATGGTATCAGAAGAAGTATCGATCACTTAACTCAGTAGTGTTTAAGCGTAGGTCAAATATAAAGTCGAAAATCACAAGTCAGATAGCTGAAAAGTGAATAGTCCTTATGATTGTGATACTGTAGCGGTGATTTCGTGCCAGTAATATTGATGTAAAATATGCTTCACGGTGTTTCACAAGAGAATTGTAGAAAGTGTCGATAAATGCTAGAAATTGTCGCGGCTGACTATCATGCGAACAGTGTTTCAATTGCCCAGAAGCCAAACATTGCACAAATAATATTTTGGAATCACTTGAAAAGAGTTGGAAACACAAAGAAGCTCGGTGCATGGATTTCACATGAGTTTAGCTTAAGAAGGCACAGTATTTGCGACTGCAAATCTCTGCTGAATCAGAACAACATCGAAACATTTCTGAAGTGTATGATGACTGTTGATGAACAGTGGAACACTTAAAGCAACGTCAAATGGAAACGGTTGTGGTTGAAAGGCAGTGACTCATGACACACCCACGACCAAACTCTTAATTCGAACCTGTAGAGCCAGCAATTGGACTATTTTAGTGAAACCATCGTATAGGAATGCCCAGCTTCGATCAACAGGAGTGGAATAATGTTTCATCAGTACAACATACAATCACATATATCGATAGTGGCTCACCAGAAGCCCCGGGATCTCGGTTGGGAAGTTCTTGTGCATCCACTTCATAGACCGAACTTCACACCTGCCTGTGGCGAATGATTTGGCTGGGATGAAAAATTCTAACAAAAATATTTTTCAGGAGCTGTCAACATTGCATTTTGCAAGAAAGATATAACGAGTGATCCAAGTACAAATACTTTATTCAATAGCATTTTTTTGACAGATCACGCATGAGTCATGTCAAGCTGTCACGTTATTTTTATTCAGTACTGTTTGGTATTTCATCGTGGAGAGACTCACGCCTGGACAACTTTTACATATCGTTCAACGTTATTACGAAAATTCAAGTTCTGTAAAGAATGTTTTTCGCGCACTTCGCTCCATTTATGGTTAATCGGCGTACTGAACGCATTATTCCCACACCACAACCCATCTTGAGACCCAGTATTCATTATTCGACCGAATAGACCACGTTCATCAGACTCTGAAGAAAATATAGCAGTCGTAGCTGAGAGTGTAGCAGCAACTCGGGCTCACATATTGAGCGAATTGGCGCATACCACGGCCAGACCTTAGATTAAAACCATACAAAACACAGATTTTGCAAGAAATGAATCAATGGGTTTGTGAACAAGCCGCATTTCAACCCTCTGAAACGTAGCTCCATTTGAGAGTGATAATCTTAAAAAATAAATGGCAAAGCATTTGCTTTCGAATGATAATAAATATTTCCCATTAAATTCGAATCTTTCAGATTTTTGCTTTAAAAATAGAAAACCTCGAAATCGATCACACTCAAAATATTCGCTAATAAATTACCAATTTACTTTAAGTAAATTTTTTTTCTCATTTATTTAAGGACTCTGAAATATGAAACGAGCATTTTTAGAGAATTTTAGAAACTCGTTGGTGGCATAAAAAAATAAATTGAAAATAAAAATTTACACTCCAAAAATATTTTCCTTTCAACAACTACAGCAGCTAGCTATCTTTATGCTATATACAACATTACATATATGTAAATGTATGTTTGCATATGAATTTTGTAGGTGTGAATGCATAGAAAGCATATGAAGATTATATACGTAGAGGAGTGCCAACAACAATGATGATAACAACATCAAGCACAATTTATTATTTAATCCAAAAATTGCAAGGAAAGAGTGTTAGACACCTCATAAGGGTAGACACCTGAAGAGCGTTCAATTTACAGTGCACACATCGATTGTCTGCAACTAAATTATCCGGTTACAGGAAGTGTATAAAGAACAGGATACGATTAAGTGAAGTGTCTAAATGCATATGAAGAGCAACAACACAATATATTATATAATTCAGTGGCGATTATAATCACGCGCTCGAAGGACTTTACAGAATATTGTGTTTTATTGTGCAAAGTAAAGAGGAAAGCGGAACCGAGGCGTGTTGGTGTCTATCTGACAAAAAGGCAAAGACAAAGAGCAAACGGGGTTGAGTTTTCGTAAGCGCCCGAAAATAGGATATGGAATGGGAGTATCTCTTCTGCATAAATCCTCTAGAAAACTAACCAAAAGCGAGGCAGTCTGATAAAGAAAGATAGCCTATCTCTCTCTACTTACCCAGGTACGACCAGCATCCAAAATTTATCAAAATTTAAATTAAATAGAAAATTTAGTTAAATTTTCTAATTGCGATCGCCCCGCGGCAAGAAATGTCAACCGCTCCGAGTGTATTTCGGACACAAAATAAAAGTCCCTCAGAAAAAAAACCATCAGTCGTACGGCGGCCGCTTAGTATAAACTGTAAGCCCCTCAAATTTGTTGGGAAAACATCAAGACGCAAGATCTCGCTCAGAAAAATATATATGGTGTACTCACTTTCCACATTAATTCTGTACACAAAGGTACACTGAAGCTCCTGCAAAGGGTGGGTAGCACCAACGGAAAGGATAGATATAACATCCAACATGACGAAAACTAACTCAAACCCCAGCCAATCGTAATAAAAAGCTAAAATAGGCAATAAATAAATGCAACGCGCAGCCACGGCATGGCAATAAATTAGGTTCCGCGTCATAAAACCGCCCCTTTCTCAGCTGGAATGCGGAAAAGGTAGGAGCGCTCGGTCTGCGAAAGTCACGCTAAGCACAATAAAAGCGAAAGTGAAGAGTTCTTTTATGAGTGTCTGGGAATGTGCGTGTGTGTTGGTGTTGTTATTATTATTATTATTATATTCTATTTCTATTTGTGTTGTTTTTTATTTATTTTAATTTTTTTTTTGGTGTTATAACACGCTGTTGGCATTGTTTACGTTTGTTTCTTTAGTCTCTTTTGTTTTGCTTTATTTTTGCTTTCACCTTTTTCCTACTGCCTACTTGAATGTTGCTTTTGTTTATAAATTTTTTTTTTGTTGTGGCCTTGGAAAAAGAAATGCAAAGCTTTGTATTGCGGCAGGCAGTATTCACATTTTCGTTTTAATATTTCAATCCTTAGACTTTTATTTATATTTGGTTCTATTTACATTTTTTTATATTATCATTCTGTTTTAATAGCTATAAACAACCTTTATTGCTTTTCTGTAGTTTTTTAAATAATTTTTTTTTTTGTGTTTTATGTTTTGATGTTCTCATATATAATATAATATTATAAATAAACGATTTAATTTTTTTTACTTTAACATGTTATATTTTCTCAGTTAATTTTCTTTAAGTTTTTATTTATAAATTTATTTTTATTTTATTTTACTTTATTTTTTTTTCAATTTTATTTATTTTATTTTATTTTATTTTATTTTATTTTATTTTATTTTATTTTATTTTATTTTATTTTATTTTATTTTATTTTATTCTATTTATTTTATTTTATTTTATTTTATTTTACATTATATTATTTTATTTTGTTTTATTTTATTTTTATTTATAATTTTTCTTAGTCGTTCTTTCAATTTTAACGTATTTGTTCACTATCAATTTTCTTGCCTTTTTATTTGAATTAACTAATTAATATTTAATTTGTATAATTTTGTGAATAGTCAAAATTTCCAAGAAATGAGAGCATCAGCTGCCAGCTCCTATCAGCATAAAAATAAAAAAATTAAACCAAAATTAATATAAAATTATTATCTACACCTTCGAAGTATTCTTTGAAATTCGTATACATATCTACACTTACGCTGAGTACGAACTGCACTCTCCGAGGTCTTCCTCTATTGGCAGTTTGTGGCTGTGGCAAGGAAAACAACAAAATTGCGGTTAATTTCATTTAAAAACTTTTTATTGGAAAATAGCATTAATGGAAAGTGTACTAATAACAATAAATACATATATATATATATATCTATACTGAAAAAGCAACAATAAAAACAACAACAAAATTGTCTGCATTCAATTGAAATAACAAATAGCAATTTTTTTTAATGAAAATTGTTGATAAAAGTTTGAAACTTATTTAAAAAGAGAATTAAAAACAACTAAAATGAAATATGCTGGATGGGGAGCAATAGAAAATCACAACATTGCATTACAAAAATAAAAAAAATTCAAAATAAAAATTTCTTGTAAAAAAAGGGAAAAAAGAACATTGAATTCAGTAAAAGTGTTTATTATTATTGTGCGGTGAGTAGCCTGATCAAATAAAATTATTTTTTATTTCCATATAGGCAGCAGAAGCAACCAATCAAATGTATTTAAAGTGTGTTTAAAATAAAAAATAAAAAATAAAAAATAAAAAAAAACAATAAATAAATTTAGAATAAAACTTTGTTTAAATTTAAAAAATAAAGTCAACACAACAAAAATAATACAAAAGTATATAAAAAGTAATAAAGACGAACCGCCAAACATAAGCTTGCTTTCAAAATATTAACAGCATGACGGAGAACAAGGATAAACACGGCAATGCCGGCGATGGAAGTAGCTCAGAAGTTGCACACACAAACACAGCCACACACAGCACAGCCGGCAGCAGCGCCAAAACAAAATCCAAGGATAAAGAAAACGATATCGAAGTGACGGTTGGCGTGGCGGATCAGCAACATGAAAAGGCCGAGGATAAGGACACAACAACAACACAAGACAGGTATGCTAGAGTATGTGTGATATAATACATGAGTGAGAAAGATAGGGAGAGTGAGAGTGTGCTACATAATTAACATAACAGATGCGTATACTCGTATGTATGTAAATAAATGTAAATTATGAAAAATTCAGAAACAAACAAACTTAAGTGAAGCAGGTGTGCGTAATACATAAATATATCAAAAAATATAGCCATGTATATATGTAAAAAGTGACGGTTGCACGTTTGTGAGCTCGAAAGTAAGAGGACGAGCTATGTATATGCATAAGTGATGAAAAAGTTTAACTAAAAATTGATTTGTTCGCTTTAAGCTGAGCATCATTTTATATGCCACTGTATATATGTTGATATAAATATGTATATATATTTTTTTATTTTTCTAAAAAGTAAATTTTATATAATTTTCCAATAAAACTTATAATAAAAACGAATTTAATTTGATTTGGAGAAATTTTTTTTTTCTCTGACCACTATGAAAATCGAAAAAATATACATGCATGCAAAGATGTGAGTGAAAACTTGTAGCTCAACAGCTAAGAGGATTAACCCTGGCGAATACTTAAATGAACTTTTTCAGCTAAATGCAATGTCAAGGTCATAAAACAACGCACCAAGCAATAAAAATAAATAATAAAATGATAAAATAAATTATTTAGATAATATAATAATTAAAAAATATTTAAATTTCTAAAGGCTTAGAAAATATCTTTCACTGAGCGATAAGAAACGCAAAAAAAATATTTTGTGAAAATCTAAAGTATTTTCACGTCCCTTAAAATATCTCAAATAAATTATTGCCTATCTTTAGGCGCTTTTTAAGCAATATAATTTGCTTAAATCAATAAACATTTGTAAAATGCGTTTTAAGTGCATTAATATTTTTTCAAATGTTTGTTTGAAACATTTTTAATTGCACAACAGCTTTTTTAAATGCCACTAATTAATTTAAAAAATTATAATAAAACTTTATAAATTGAATTTAATTGCATAAAATATTTGCAGTCAATTTTTTACTCCTTCATATGGCGATTTCATTTTTTTTCTCTCCCTTGTGCAAAGTTGTCTTAATTAATGGCTGCAAATGCCATTTAATTGAGCAAATTATGCAATTTTATGCGTAGGTATGTGAATATTTACTTTCACACAGCTATTTGATTAATTAAAAAATATTTTGCGTAATAAAAATCATAAACAATTCAGTGTCGGATGCGTGTATTTTCGCTATAAATCATTGTGGCTATGCCCATATAAAAAAATTACAATAATAAATTGCAACAATTGGACAAAAGTACAGCTCTACGTGCGATTCTTCGAATTACAAGCCGCAAAAGGAAGCTGTTGAAGCGCTGATTTTTGTTTTTAACATTGAATTAAATATATAATAAAATAAAATTAAATTGAATAAAATTAAACTAAATAGAATAAAATAAAATAAAATAAAATAAAATAAAAAATAATAAAATAAAATAAAATGAAATAAAATAAAATAAAATAAAATAAAATAAAATAAAATAAAATAAAATAAAATAAAATAAAATAAAGCAAAATAAAATAAAATAATATAAAATAAAATAAAATTAAATTAAATTAAATTGAATTAAATTGAATAAAATTAAACTAAAATAAAATTAAATGAAATAATATTAAACGAAATAAGAAATTAAATAAATGAAATAAAATAAAAGAAAATAGAATAAAATATTTTAAAAGAATACTAAAATAATATTATATTAAATCAAGAAATGAAATAAATAGCAACAGAAAATAAAATGAAAAATATTAACAAATAAAAAATGAAGGAAAGTGAAATAAAACGAAATAAATTAAATGAAATAATTTAAAACGAAAGAAAATAGAAGAATTAAAAAAACATTAAATAAAATAGAATTAAGTAAAATAGAATAAAAAAATAAAATTAAATATATTAAAGTATTAATAAGCCAAATCGGTAAATAAAATAAAAATTAACTTTCTGGAATAAAATAAATTTAAAAAAATTAATTTAAAATAATATATAACAAAATACAATGGAATACAATAAAATGAGAAAAAAATAAAAAATAAATGATACAGAATACAATTTAAAAAAATAAAATAAAATATAACAAAAAAACTAAAACTAAAAAAACTTCAAAATATTAATAAAAATATAATAATAAAATTAAAAAAAAATGTATTAAATTAAATGGACTGAAATTACTTAAAATAAAATGGAATTAAATTAAATTTAAAAAATATTTAGTAAAATATGAAAAAAAAAACTTAAAATATACAAATATATATATATATATATATATATATGTATATTATGAGTTTAATACCTTGGTTCATAGTATAATTTTTTTTTTTTTACTTTGTTATTTGAATTCAAACTCAGGAAAAGATAAAATTTGATAAAAATTTGGTTTTTATAATTTTTTAATTTGAAATTTACTACTATTTTTAGTTGAAGGCCTCAAAACCATAAACTTATTTCACAAAATTGTATTTAATTTTTCAAAAAATCTCATATACAAATTTTTTAATTTTTTTATTTAAATTATTCTCCACTTATCGCACTAAAAGAGGCGACAATTTAAAATCTCGCCCACTCCCATTAATTTGTGACCACCGGGCGCTGAGAGCAGCCACAGTGGGTTGGCTTCAACGTAGGTTATTTCATTTGAATCGTGAATAATGATGAACTCGGCGGGGCGTAACTTTTAATATCCCAAGCGGACGAAGATGAAAAACTCGTTTATCTAAGCAAAGAAGAAAAAAGAGGAGCAAGTGAAAAAAAACCGCCTATGCGTGTGTTCATAGACATTTTTACGCATTGTAGCAGCGGGAAACAAAAAGCGAAAAATGTGAGAAACAACTATCCTCAGTTAACTAACGGCTGTAAAATCACTGCAAGCGGCTGAAATCAAGCAAAACGTTAACCGTTAACTATCACAGTAGCAAGTCAACTATGCCAAACGCACACACACATACAAGGGTAAATTTTCCTACAAAACTAATGTCAATACTAACACATTCACCAACTCATCCGCTCATTTGTACTACTCTACTTGCATGTATATCACATATACTTTGTTTGTAGGTATTCATATTGGTTTTGCCTAGTAAAAGCGTGAAGTAATCATACGCCCTGTTGAGCCGGATCGTGAAATTTACTAGCGGTTGGTGGTCTTCGCTTATAAGCAAAACTAAATTATTGTTTTCATTGGTTTTTTTGTGTTTTTTTTTGCTGTAAATGCTTAAAGGAGTTAATGTTAGTTGGTAGTGCGAAAAAATTTTGGAATATCTCTTCATGAATATTTTTCAATCGAAAACGTCCAAGATAATGAGGAATCTAGAAGGACCTGATTTCACTTCGTGTCTAAAATTCTGCTCAAACTGCGAAAGCAAAAAACTACTACCCAAATCATTCAGAATTCAATAGCCCTAGATGAATTTTACTGAAGATTAAATATATAAAGTAATTCCTTGGGCTTTTATTTTTCTTTCGCTACATTTTACAATCGCTGCACGTAAAGGCTGATCAACTTTGGCTGATTTTGATTAATCCTTTTGTTGTTTTGTGAAGGAAAGTTGCTGTAACTCCGACCAGCACTCAAAGACAAGCAGGCATGAGAGCGAAAATTTTTAATTTTAACACAAAAAACCGCGAAAGCCATAACTCAATGTCAATGATGATGGCGCAAGCTGCCGGCTTAATATCTCACCTCAGCTTTATGGGAAAGTTTCACTCGAATCATACTGTTCCATTCGGAGAAACGCGGCCTTCGAGTAGAGCGAAATATTTTCACTTATGTCTCACGAAGGAAGTTTTATGTAATGGACGGTGCTTTTTACCTTTAGTTTCGTTGTAAAGAGTTGAATTTTTAATAAATTTGTTTTACTTAAGTCAGTTCTGTGTACAGAAAACGACTTTTACCTTTTATATTTAAGCGCAGTAGACACTTTTATCTTGCTAATAAAATATTTATGTCAAAAAATGATTTGCAGTCTTTGATTTGCTTCATTGAGCTTAAGGAAAATGCGGCTGAGCTTAAATACACCAAAGAACAAATAAAATTTTTTTTGCTATATTTAAAATTGTATATTACTCAGATATTTGTGTTAATTATATTATTTTTTTATTTAAGGTTTATTTATTTTTATTTATTTTTCTTTTATTATTTTTTTTCTTTTTGATTTATTTTATTTTGTCTGTTCCTTTTTTTATTTAAACTATATCTTAAATTTTATTCTATTTTATTTTATTTTATTTTATTTTTTTTATTTTATTTTA